GTGGTAAAAGGGGTAACAAACAGAACAAAGCAGATTACTAAGCAAACGAAATCAAACATGCAAACTAAACTAGTTTCACTAAAGAAATTGGTTAAAAATGGTATTTCTCACTCTAAATACTGTTGCAGACAGTTTTCAAAGTTTCTGTGGTTTAGAGTTCCCATTATATTCCTTTTCAGACTGGACCCTTGTCTTAGTCTGGACTCCCCCTTGCCTTCCCTTTTGTAGTCTTTCTTCTTGGGCAGACGGGCCATGGAGAGGAGGAGTCCTGTTTGCCTTCCTCCCCACCCTTAAATAGGATTTACATAAGATGGGAATCGTTTCCCAAATGTGAACCCCTCCCCTTCCCTTACAGTGGAAAGTTACAAGAAGTCCCAGGTAATGTTTTAGTATCAGGTGACAAAACCACCTGACACAGTAGGATCACAGCGTCCATGAGTCAGTGGTAGTATGGAGCATCCACAGGAAGGCCAAGATTTTCAGTCCATTGTCCTCGCTGATAGGCCATCTGCCCTGCCTGGCTTTCCCATTCTTGTACCTGAAGTGTTAGCAATGGGCGTCACCCCAAGTAGCATAGTGAAATACAGATACATAGCCAATATTCCTAACTTCAGATACAGAAATGATACAGGCATACAAATTGGATAATCACATTCCGTAAATCATAACCTTTCCAATGATATCTCACATGAGCCATCTTGCATAAAGTACATCTCAGTTATGTCATTCATATCATAAGCCTATGTTCATAAAGAATATGGAATGATATAACCACCACAATGACTGAAAGAACTCAAGTGGCTGAGGCAGGGAGTGGATACTACAGCATTGCCCTGGGATGCTATGAGAAATAATCAGGTTAATGGAGGATTTTGTAGAAGCTGAAGGGTCATTAAAGGCAGAATAACCCCGGACATCAGCAGGGCAAGGGACACGGGTGGGAGGGTGAGCCAAATCAGTAGCAGTCTCTCCGAGGGGGTCAGTCATTCCTCAGGCCCAAGGCAGCCGTACGGGGACAAGGAGGCTGAGCATCAATGCAACACCACCACTGGGACCACCAGGCACCCCAGACAACTGAAGCAGGGCTCACAGTTCAAGGTCTGGCCAGCAGCCCACAGACAAGCTTCCCCCAAGCTAAGAAAGAGGCCAGCAACCCCAGCCCATTAACATGCTATTCTTGTGGGGAGACAGGGCACATAAAGAGGGAGGCCCACTGATGGAATGTGAGCACACCCAGGGCTGGATGTCAGAAACCTGGGCACAACCCTCCCTCCCCTAAGTTGATGGTACTGGTGATGGTCCAAGGGAACCTGGTTCAAGGACTCTTGGACTCTGGCTGAAGCCAGATAGTGGTCCAGCCCTGCATGGTGTGAAGTGACACCCTCCCAAGACCACATTCTACCTTCAATGTATCCATAGTAATGTCAAGACCTACCCAAGCCAGAGGTTACAACTGACGGTGGGAGCCCATATAGAAAAGTTGGCTTACCTTGTGATCATAAGCTGGGACTAGCTTTTTTTTTTTTTGCGAGTCCTTAATATCCAGGCTCAGGCCGCAAGTGAGAACAGGGGCCAATTGGTGACACCAACTCCCAAGAGCTTGGTAAGCCTTGAGAAAGCCAATCATTCCAGGGAAGGGACATCCCATTCAATCCTCCGCAGATCCACACAGACGAAGAGCAGAATATCCGGACCTGGAAGCCCTCCTATGGAGAGGGAATTTTGTGCTAGGAGAGAAGAACGACTCTTTGTTAAGCCATGCATCTGAGCAACTGGCCCC